ATATAGTTATAATATTAAAATATGTATTTATTAAAATCTTTAAATATAAAATTAAATTATTATATTTAATTATATAAGTCTATAATTTTTTTCTTTCAGGCAAAATAGAACGTCAAATACTGATGGAAGAGAAATTTCCAAGTGTGAAGTTTGAGAGTTTATGTGAAGCTATACAACTAAGTTTGAAAAATGACCAAAACTCAGGGTAAAAGCCATGCCTTTTCACTGTTCGAGCACTGTTTGTGTTTGGTTTGAGCTGTGTGCTCTGGCGGGACACTGACCATCGGGGAGAGGATGTCTTCACGACAGGGCTGTCCACGTCCATCTGTACCAAGTGGTTACTGACTTACGACCTTGCGCTTGCCAGGCAGGCGCTATGCCGCTGAGCTAAATCTCCAGCCCCACTGACTTGCTTTTTAAATTTGTTGCTCTTGCCTTTGACCAAGGCCCCCTTTATAGTGATGGTAGATGACACCCATTGTCATGGGGCATATTGAACTGCAAATCATTTCAGGCCTGTTCCCGATCTCCTGTAGTCTCAGGGCTGTGGCAGCCTGCCCCGGACAACTGAGTTCTAACGAGAAGATCCTTTCTTGCATATGGTTTGTAGCTAGAAGGGCTCTGTGGGGTTATTTACTCTGGTCATCTACAAGGCTGCCCAGCCTGATTCTTCACGTAAATCACCTCAATATTGCGGGTAATCCACTGTTATTAAACTAGCACTGATCCAAGTGGCCCCAAGTGACAGTTTTGATGGTAAACACACAGACCTAATTTGTACCGTATCACTGCTTTCTGCATAACTCTGTATTTTATTCCAGCTTGATTAGTGTAGAAGAGTATAGTCACCTGGTTTCCAAGGTAGGTTCCTCTGGCCCTGACTTTTCCTTGTGTGCTGGAGTATTCCATTACGCTCTAGATGTTGAGCTTCACAGCAGTCTCCGAGTGCAGTGCTGCCAGTGTAGGACAGGTAGGATGCTCACCTTTCTTCACGAGCTTCCAGTTTCAGGGAGGAAGATTCCAGTACCTATGGCCAAAAGTGCTATGAAAAGGAGGCTTGAGTATTGGCACAGATTCTAATTTTGCCTGTGTTTATCTTTCTGAAGCTTATGCACTGCCAGAAAATGATGCAAAGAGATTATGAGTGGTAAAGCTCTTTCATAAGTTCAGTGCCATATCATTTTAGGTTGATAAGAGATTCCTACCTGGAAATGGCCCTATTGTGTTTTCACGTGATGATGCCAAAGAGGAAGATTTCACAAACACCATCGACAGTCAAGGTAATAGCCACACTTGTTGGAATTATAAGTTAATTACCTTTGATCTTACCATTTTAGTTACACTGTACTATTGAGATGAGGAGGTATTTTTCTATGTGACTTAGAGAAATTAATTAATCCTTTTATAGTCACACTTGTATTTAGATGCCTCTTTGGACAGTTTATGTAGGGCTCTGGAAATTGATTTCATTTAGATTTTTTTGATTGTTAAAATGTTGTACATGTAATATAAGTTGTGTAAATACCCTAAGGCAATGAGTCATTAGTAATGATCAAGAAATTTCAGGGAATGACATACTGGTTAAACATGCAGACAAGTAAAGCTTTCAATACTGACAGAGCCTATAAACAGCTAAATTTTAGAGGAATTCTTTTTTTTTTTTTTTTTTTTTTGGTACCAAAAATCAAGCTCATGACCTTGCGCTTGCCAGGCAGGCGCTTGTGCTGCTGAGCTATACCCCACTCCTTTAGAGGCATGCTTTCACTCATCACATGTCTAGCGGCTCCTACTATGACCCAGGCACTGTTCTAGATGAAGGTGGTAAAATACTGTCCAAGATGAGCTCAGTTGCTGCTCTCATAGGGTTTATCTTTCAGTAGAGGAAAACAGGCACTAAATCAGCAAAGGAAGAAAGAAGGAAGATGGGAAGAAACAAGAGAGAAGTTGGGGAAGGAGAGTTAACTTCTTGATAGTGAGCATTAGGACGTGACTTGGGGTAGTGGGATTGTAAACGAGTGCGCAGGGAAGAAGATGTGGCGTTCAAGGCAGGATCTGGTGAGGAAGAGGGAACCATGTAAAGAACTGCGGAGGGACATACGATTTAGAGTAGTGCTTCCAAGCTAAGTTGGAGGAACAGCTCCAGAATCCTTGTGAACATGTCCATTTTGGCTCAGTACCTTGGGTTGAGATCTGGGATTTGGTGTTCCTAACAAGTTCTGGGTAACTCTGATGCTGGTGGCCTTGGGCCATACTTGAGTACCCAGGGTCTAGACCAAAGGTGACCTTTGAGGCAGAGAGAAGCCAGGTGGCTTTGTGGTATGTGAGCCCAGTAATTTTACTTTTTAACATTTTGGTAGACTTTTACCCTAAATCCTTGTTGAATAATCATTCGATTCTCCAAGAGATCTTTTAAGAAACTATTGGTCTCAAACTCTAATTTTTTTTTTTTTTTTTTTTTGTTTTTGTTTTTCTCCGGTACCGGGAACCGAACTCACGACCTTGCGCTTGCCAGGCAGGCGCTTTTGCCACTGAGCTAAATCCCCAGCCCCTTCAAACTCTAATTTTTGAGATAGTAAAGGTAATTTAAAACTTTTAGGCATATAGAATTCTCAGTAATTATTCATATGATAATTGCCGTAGGTGGATAGCACCTGCTTTTTAAAAAATTGAAATGATTACAAAACTAGAAAAAGTTAACCTTTTTGTGTTGTGATAAATATATTTATTTCTGCTAGAGAAAAAATACTGTTTAATATGTGGCAATGCAAATTAATAGGCTCCTATGATAATATCATATCACTTTTGTGGCCTGTACTACAGTATTTATAATGAAGAAGTTAGAATTTGAATGAAAAAATAGATTTCTGTAAAACATGGTCAGCATTTTCTCAATATTGTGATACAGTGTATTTTAACAAGTCTCAGAACTAGTAGAAAGTACAGACAATAACCAAAACAAATCAAATAGATGTTTATATCATTGAAGTATAGCATTTGAAATTTGTCCTAATATTGACAGTGTTACAAAACCTTGAAAGAGAGGATTGTAGTTTCATTGTTACGTACGGCCTGTATCGTACTGGTTTGAGTTGAATTCTAGCTTCCTGCTATACCAGGTGTGTGACTCAGTCTTTCTAAGCCTCCCTTTCCTCAGGTCTGCAGTGAAGATGGAAATACATGCTTCTTTGAGTGGCTAGGAGAATAAACAAGATAATGAGTTTATACATGATCAATATTCCAAAAGACAGAACTATTATCTATCACTCTATGACTTCAGTCAGACATCTACATTCTTTCTGAAATATTTTGTACATGACAGATATCTGTTGATGGGTACCTAGGCTGATTTCATATCTTGGCTGTTGTATGTAGTGCCACAGTAAATATATCTATACAGGTATCTACTTTGTATGTTTCGTATGACTTCATTTCCTTCAGATATATACCCAGGAGTGGGCTAGCAGGATCATATGATAATCCTATTTTTATTTTTTTGAGGAATCTCACACTATGTTCTACAGGGGCTGTACTAGTTTACATTCCTGCTGATGGTGTATAATTGTTCCTTTTTCTGTACATCTTGGCCAGTAATTGTTATTTTGTTGTTGTTGTTGATAATAGTCATTGTAACTAGGGTGAGCTGAAACCTCACTGCAGTTTTTATTTGCAGTTCCCTAATGGTTAAAGATATTGAATATTTTTCACATATTCATCAGCCATTTGGATTTCTCCTTTTGAGAAGTATATATTCAGGTCATTTGTACATTTTAATTGGTTTACTTTTGTTATTACAATTTTGAGTTCTTATATATTCTGGGTATATATTTGTTATTTCTATTGTGAATGGATTTTTTTTCTTATTTTTGGTTTCATATTGGTGATTGGTAGTATATAAAATATATAGTCAATTTGTATGTTTTAATATTTTATATTTTGTGTCTTTGGTAAATACTTTTATGGGGGATAGTATGAATATTTCTTTGGATTTTCTAAATATGGATGGATCATGTTTTCTGTAAACAAAGACAATTTTACTTCTCCCTATCCAGACTGTTCACATTTTTCGTTCTTTCCTGTTTGGATGGGCTGTGACATATTGACACTCTCTCATCTTAAAAAGTGCAAACTGTGTCCTTTCTCATGTCCAGAATTTTCCATTCTGAGCTCAGGCCCAACCTCCTCCATAAAATTTTCTGCTCAATTAAAAATAGCTTCTTTCTCTTTTGAGCGCCTGAGTAACTAATTGTCCTTACACTCAGTTACTTAATAGTCTTCTGCATTCTTCATTTCATGGCTATTAGTCTTCCTTCCAGAATTTAAGGAGGTAAATTGCTTGAGCTTACACAGCCAGTAAACTGGCTCTTCCTCCTTCAAAGCCTGTGCAGTTCCACTACTGCTAATGTTTGGAGTTGTCTCAGGACAGGACTGGGCTGCATAGAGTCCAGGGAGACGGATCCCCCCGGGTGACTTTTCCCTCCAAGTCCAACACTGAATCAGGCGGGTCTCACTAACGCTTTGTACTCACCGCCCGAGCATGTACTGTGTCCATTGCCCTTTCTTATCCCTGTCAGTCTCCTAGAGAGAAGTAAAAATAAAGATGTATTTTTTGTTTTTGTTTTAGTCGTTTTCTTCAAGATTAATGAATTGATCAAAATATGGGCATCAAAAAATTAGAACCTAGGGGTCTTATTTAATAGTCATCTTTATTCAGATTATTTAAATTTTAAGAAATATTTAAATCTTAAGAAATAACCTTAATAGTTATTTATTGTAGTTGTATTTAAAAATGTAAAACAGACACTGTGTTGCTGGTACAGGCTCTTTCTGCTCACTGAATTTTTTATGTTTAGAAACTCAGTATATGTGTGCGTGTGTGTGCTATGTGTATATGTGTATGTTGGGTGTGTATAGATAGACAGATAGATAGATACTGTATATGCCCAAAGTAAAACAATCTCCATTAACTTTTTTTTTTTTTTGGTCATTCTATGGAATTATATGATAATATTCTCCCCTTCAACATTTTCTTGGCTACAAAAATGATAAAAAATACTGACCTTGAATAATCTCATTTCTGACATTTTTACCCACAATATATTCAACTATCGATCCTATATTAAAATGACACTTTACTGAAATGACATTTTTATTAGAACATAAAGCATGGAGTATAATTATAGCAAATTATTAAAAAATTGTAAAAATAATTTAGTCATCCTTAAAAATTAAAATAACTTTGTTAACACTTTTTGTGGTTATATGTATAGGCAATATATATTTGTTTGCACTTCAAAAAAATTGGATCGGGGCTGGGGATTTAGCTCAGCGGCAAAAGCACCTGCCTGGCGAGCGCAAGGTCATGAGTTCAGTTCCCGGTACCGGAGAAAAACCAAAACCAAAAACAACAACAACAACAAAAAATTGGATCATACGTTGCATACTATTTCATAACCTATACTTTTCTTTCCTTAATATATTTTAAAAATCTTTTCATGTCAATAGATACATTATTATTATTGATGGCTAAATAGTATTCCACCAAAGTGTCAGAAGATGAGAATCCAACAAAGTCTTCCAATAAAGAGATTTATCAAGAAACTTTATATTTTATGTTTTTATCATAAAACTTTTTTTTTTTTTTTTTTTTTTTAGCCTCCTGCCAGAAGGACTAGTTCTAGTAGAGAACCAGTAATGCATAGATTTGAAATGTGCAATTCATTGGCCTGGATTGCAATAAGAGCTGCTGCTCAGGTTGGTATTGTTTGTATCAGTATTCTCCACCTACCACCTATCTACACAAAAGAAAGGAAAATTTCCCATTCTTTAGGATTTGTCTATTTGTTTGGAAATATTAGAAATACTCTATATTTTGTGCAGTGGTTTTAATCTCTACTAGCCAGACCAGACCTAGCTCTGTTTGTTTCAATAATATTTAAGAAAACATTAGTGGATTCACATGTGCACATATCTGACATTTTGGCAAATATTTGTCATAGTCGTGTGAACTCGCATAAAGTGATTTATCCATTAATTAAATTGTCAAAACTAAATGACTTGTTTAACTATAATGTGCACTATACATGTCAGGGATCATGTATTATTTTTTCAGGTTGTCATTTTTTCATGTAACATACATCAAATATTATTGTATGAATTCACTTTCCCACACTAGCTATTGTATTAGCCTGCTTCATGCTGCTGTAATAGAAGAGCACAGAACAGGTAATTTACAATGAGCAGAAATTTACTGCCTGAGTTCTGGAGGCCAGGAAAGCCAAGGTAAAGGGACTGAGCTAGAAGGACCTGTTTGTTGTGGCTTTTCGTGGCTGCAAGTGAAAGGAGAAATGAAAAGAAAGTCGGCGGGGGGCGGGGGGGGGGCTGACTTGTTCTGTGATAAGAACCCAGTCCCATGACGACATTAATCTCATGAAGAGAGTGGTGTTCTCATGACCTAATCACCCCTTACATGGCCTATGTCTTAACACTGCCACTTGGGAATCAATTTCCCAACTCATTAAAATATTATGGGATGCATTAAAACCACAGCATTTATGCAATGGGTAATATCTGAATAAAAAAAACCTTTGAACTTCTAATATATGCATTAATTGTAGGTCAGTGAAGCTGTACTGGCAGTGAACCTTCTCATTGGCAACAAGAATGCTAGAACTGACACAGTTAATCAGATGGTCTTACCGAGTCTCCCAGAATTTGCCACCGTGGATCTCTTGTCCTCATACACAGATTACTTGCTTGGTATGTATGAACGGTTAGGTGTATTATGAGAAGCTAATGTGTAATCATGTTGTCCAGCTTTAACCACTGTGACTTGCTGGCTTTTTAGCTTAGAGTTTGGAGAATCTCAAGGGAAGAAAGGAGCCTAGGACCAAGACAGCCCAAACAGTGGGTCCTCAGCTCACCGCGAGTGTACACGTTGCTCAGGTGGCTGCTCTGCTTCAGATGCAGGGCTCTGTGAAAACAGATTTCTATTTGCTTATTTTGCTACTCACAAGATCAAGTGAGACCTTTGGGGACTGTTTTCTTGAGGGAACTGCTCTGATGCTCTACTCTCAAATGTGCGCTCACTCTTACTTATGGCTTCATAGCTTTTCTCTTAGTTATTTTACTTCCATATTTATGTTTGAGTGTGCTTAAACTCTTCCATTAAATTATGAGCTCCCAGGAACTTGTCTATTCAGTAAGTTGCTTACACATAGCAGACATTCAACATTAATATTTGTTAAGTAAGTTAATGAAGGAGAGGTTAGCAGAAGTTAAACCTGTTTTTATTTACTTATGACTTTTTTTTGTTTTTTTTGTCTTTTGAGACAGGGTCTTGCTATGCAGTTCAGGCTGGCCTTGAGCTCACTTTGTAGCCCAGGCTGGTCTCAAACTCACAACGATCCTCCTGCCTCAGCCTCCCAAGTGCTGGGATTACAGGTGTGCGCCACTATGCCCGGCTACTTATGACTCTTGTTAGTGAGTTGTAGCACGAATCTCTCAGCTGAATTAGTAGTAACATATGTATTTCACATCCAGTTATGTGTTTTTCCATTTGCTCATTCACAAAGTGTTTCCTGAGTGCTTCTTGCATGTTGAGCACTTGGCTTGGTGCTAAGTAGTGAGGTGCTAATACTGGACTTCCAGACTGACATTTCACTAACACAGATGTCTGATTTTGTCTGGTGTGAGCCGTGCACTGGGTCAAAACAGATGAATATGTTTCCCTTTAACCTGATGGGGTGGCAGTGGTCTTCCCAAAGCCTCAGCAGCAACATCTGTAGATGGTGATTTCCTTGGTCGAAGGGTGAGCTGAGCTATTGTTATCTGAAATTGTCCCCTTCTGAGCTCTTTCCTAAAGAACAGGTGACAAAGACTATTTTCAACCTGAAAAGGATGTGCCTGAGGGTCAGACCGCTACATAGACTTTTTATGTTAAAGCTTTTGTTTTCTTATTTTTATTTCCTTTATGTCTGATAGAATTTGGCTTTGGCAAGTTTCTGGGCCATGGCTGGCACCTCAAATAGAGCGCTTACTCTTCCTTGGTGTTTCCATAGACGTGTTCCCTGGGGGCAGAGCCACTGGCCCTGCCCGGGGCAGTGTGGTATCCCAGCAGCGAGGAGGATCTGCCCACCACTTCTTTTGCTTGGTGTTTCATGGCAGCTCAATTTTCCCTGATTCACAATGCATCTCTTAAAATCCACTTGATTATTTTGCTATGAAAGGAGCACAGTTAATACCCAAGGGACCCCAACTGGAATCCTTCTTCTGTCACGCCATTTAGCTTCTTCCAGCCTCATTTTCCTCATCTGTTAACTGAGAGACTTAGTCAAAATCTAAACATTTGAAGAGTGTGACTCCAACTTCCAGCATGGATATTTCTTCTTCATAAGGACTCCTTATTAATTCTGGAATATGTGTCTATTTTGTCCTGGTCATTTCTTTGTGCTCTGACAGGATTTTTGTTTGGTTATTTATTTATTTTTATTGCAGTAATACAGATATTCCTTATTTAACGACCAAGTTCCAGTCCTGTGTTAAATGAATTGGTTGCTAAATGAGGAGTTGTATGTAGCTGTCTTAGTTACTTTTCTCTCCTTGCTGAGACAAAATAACTGACCCCCAAAATGAAGGAAGGAAAGGTTTATTTAGCTTACAGTTTGTGGAGGTTGCAGTCTATAATCAGCTGTCTCCAAGGCAGGAAAGCATGGTACAGTGGCAACACTTCAAGGCAGCACAAGGCATCAAAAGCAGTAAAAGCCAAAAGGGGGCAGGGAAGCAAGCCTCTTTTCCTCCTTTACGTTGTATGCTGGCTATCCGCCCAAGCCCACACCATCTCAGTGCCCTCCTCTTGCACAGGCTCAGGATGAATACCAAAAACATCCTAGAGCAGGAAGGGCATGTCCTTTCCACCCCAGGATGTACAACTGCTGAGTCACTTAGCCAAGTGTCTAGACTTCTCAAGTTGATACAATGTATCAACCATAACAATAGCATATACCTTACAATATTCAGAACAAAGAAATGGTGAAAGGAAACTCCAGCTTGATGATTCTGCTTTTATTTGGAAAACTCTTATATCCTGTACTATAATGTATAATAGAACATAAAGCTACAGTACTATACTGTATGGTACAATCAGCAGAAGTTACAGTACTGTATAAACAAGGTGTATTGTACCAAAAAAAGACATTGAGGCTCTATAAACAGATATACAAAAAATATGGATAGTAAGTTGAATCATTGAGTTGTAAATCCCCATAGTGCACCTTGGTTGTAACAGTCGTTAAACAGGTGGTTCATTAAGCAAGAAATATCTGTCCTGGGAATGGAACCCAGCGAGCACTGTGCTATATCCTCACCCCTTTTGAAAAGTTTATTTTGAGACAGGTCTTGTTAAACTGCTCAGGATGGTCTTGAACTTGATCCTCCTGCCTCAAGCTCCCAAATAGCTGAGAGTACTGGCATGTACCCCCATGCCTAGCCTCTACCAGTTTTTAGGACAGGGCTAACAAATTACATCTCAGCTGGACCCTAAAACTTAGTGGATTACAACAGCAAGAGTTTTCTCTTCCACTCACTTATGTGTTCTGCTTCAGGCTGCAGGCTGGGCTGAGCTGTGCTCTGTGTACATATGTTGTGAGGCCTAAGCTGAGGAGGCAGTGGCTACCTGGGGCATGTTCTTCTGAGCTACCAGGGCACAAAGCCACAAGCCAGATCACAAGGCATATTTAAAGCCTCTGTTCCATCCCATCGCGTTGATCATAGCAAGTCATATGGTCACTTCCACTCAGAGTGAGTAGAGAATCATACTCTCCTTCCACAGGGAGGGGAAGATTATGAATGTCTGTCCAATAATAATCCAAAGTATCCCACAGGATGAGTTTAACCTATAGTAGTAGAATTCTGAAACTCTCTGTAGAAAAATAGGAAAAAGTGCTGCTGTGATCTATGCATGACGCCAGCCATGGACACACAGTGGAGAATTTGTCATCGGCCAAACCAGATGACATTGGCCAATGCAGTTGAGTCTTCTTTCTTTAGTACCAGAACATGCATGTTCTTACTCCATTTTACTGGTTTTCATAGCATATTCCAATCTTTCGGTTTCCATTTTATACCATCCATTAATACTTCCTTACTAATTTAACTATGAAATTACTAAATTTTGAAGTCCAATCTACTTTGCATTTTGCCTTGCCTAAAGTATTCTTTTGCCTTCCTGCCCTTTCCTGGTAGGCTGGTAATTAATGCACGTTGACAATTTCCCTTGCTTCGGTATTTGGGTTGGAAGAAGATTCAGAATTCCCACCTGAGTGTCACAAATACACAGATGGCAGTGAAGTTCATATTATAATGAATTGCTAAAGGGAAAAATCTCTTAACCATAACAAATAAAACTTGTTTGATTTTTCTGCATTAGCATAAATTAGCATCTGGGAGAAAACCTCCTCACTAATCTTAGCTTTAAACAATATTAGCATTGATCTATATGAGGTGGTAAACAATATTGTTATTTTGTGCAGAGCACTGTACTAGATCTTTCTTTTCTTTTTTTCTTCCTTCTGGTGTGCACGCCTGCCTCTGTGTGTGTGTGTGTGTGTGTGTGTGCATGCACGAGTGTATATTTTGTTTTGGGAGCTGGGAACTGAACCCAGGGCCTTGTGCATGGTAAGCATGCTGTGTACAACTAAGCCATACACACACAGCTGTGTACCAGATGCTTGTGTCCAGAGTGAATGAATCAGAAATACATCAAGAAAGCAGGTCTTGCCTTTTATGAGCTTTTGGTCATGAACAATCATAGCAATCATACACATTGAAATTATATATATATTCATCTTTTGAAAGATTAACAAGGCAGGATTAATATGATAGGCCTTCTGAGGAGATCTGGTCACAGGCTAAGGTAGCTCAGGAATTCATTAGGAGCCCTTCTTTTCTGGGAGAACTATATAATGGGACAAATGTAAATTGACTCAAAGACATAAGGCACCAGAGGTGAGGGGAAACATGCTCTCAACAGAGCAATTCACGACCAGAAGCGTGATGATAAAGTAGAGTAATCCTGTGTGTAGGATGGACCGTAGTTCATCTTGCCAGCACCTGAAAGCAAGGACAAGGTGTGCTCGAAAAATAATGCTGAATGTCTAAGTTGAAAAAGTTTATACAGGGGCTGGGGATTTAGCTCAGCGGCACAGCGCTTGCCTGGCAAGCGCAAGATTGTGAGTTCGATTCCTGGTACCGGGAAAAAAAAAAAAAAAAGAAAAAGTTTATACAGTAAAAGACATATTGCCCTTTTTTAAAAAATATCTTTACTTGCACTGTTGTGGCTGCCTTAATGTCCTGAGTCCATTCAAAATGTTTACTTTTCCTGGTCATTTTGACTTTGAGGAAGAGCCAGAAGTCTCACCAAGGTGGATGAGGACACACTGTGATGTTTACGTGAGCCTGCCTTTCCATTGTGTGGCACTTGGCAACAGCATTCGCCATACTTTTTGTGGCACCTTGCAAAGGCACTGGTGGAAGAGGGCTTCCTGAATGGCTTGAGGAAGTAGCAAGAGCAACAGTAAGTGTGTTCAAAGTCAGAGGGAGTAATTTGAGAGGGGCTGATGGCAATATATCTTTTACCATAATGAAGGTATAAAAATTTAAATAGTCACTCTACATTTTGGTCACACCTCATATATGCCATTTGTAGAACAATAAGAACATCCAGTGGCGCACCTGCGCCAGTTTACTGAGGTATTTTCTTC